ATCTGTATACACTACTATCATTATATCATCTATTCTGATAAATGGTTCAGGAAAACGGATCAGTTCCCCACAGCTACAACTTCAGAGTAGGCGGGAGATCTGTATACACTACTATCATTATATCATCTATTCTGATAAATGGTTCAGGAAAACGGGATCAGTTCCCCACAGCTACAACTTCAGAGTAAGCGGGAGATCTGTATACATGACTATCATTATATCATATATTCTGCTAAATGGTTCAGGAAAAGGGATCAGTTCCCCGTAGCTACAACTTCAAGGTAAGCGGGAGATCTGTATACATGACTATCATTATATCATATATTCTGCTAAATGGTTCAGGAAAAGGGATCAGTTCCCCGTAGCTACAACTTCAGAGTAGGCGGGAGATCTGTATACACGACTATGATTATATAATCTATTCTGCTAATCAAGCCAGGGCAGGTCACTCATGAATAGCAACTGTGCTCCAAAGGAACCATCTGCTTGTGGGAGCCATTACACAAAACACATGTTGAAAGCTTCCGCTGACATCCCCATTATCACCCACCATTCCCTGCGTGCGCACGTATACAGTAGGCTACGGTTACATACTGTTAGTTCTGTACTCTGTGAGACACACGTACACGTACTGCTGCTTTGGCACTCTTTCCACTTCCTTTCTACGGTCTTGATAGTCAGAAGTAAGTAAGTAAAAAGTATTAAAATTAAGAAGGAATACAGCAAGAAAATACTCACAAAGGTAAGGTTTCTGCAGGAGTTTGAACAATAACAAAATTGTAAAAAGAAAACGAATTAATTTTTTTTAAATTAAAATTGTAAATCCTTTTAAATATCACTATTTTGTGGTACTAATGTCAGGTTTAAGTTCAGTCTAGTGGATTTTATGTAAACTGTTTGAGTTTCTCTGGAGTACTTATCCATCTAATGTTATTATAGTTTGTTTTAGTTGTCGTTTTTGTGTTTATAGAAAAGTGGGATTCAACATGACGTAATCATATTCTACGCAACCCACGGGGGGGGGGGGCGTGACTAATATAACAAAAAACAAACAAAAGATGGAATTTTAGGGCACAAAACGACAAACAAAAATACAACTTTTAGTTGATACAGAGGCAAATTTGTCGAAATGTGATTACAGCCCACTTTAATTAACTTGTACACATCAACACACTCTTCAGTGTAATATTTAAATAGTCTATCTATATTAAAATAGCCATTAGGCGGCCTTGAGAAAAGTGGGTGCAAATTTGAGTTCGTTCCACGAAGTATAGTACGTTTCGTATAAAGTGGGAGGCATCCGAATGGAGAGGTTTGTAGGTAACGGTATTTTCTTCTAACAACATATAATTAAAACCTCATTTACCATCAACAATTGTACGTTGTAGATTGCTCAGTGTATTGACACAGTTCGAAACCATTTATTAAGTTTTGTTTAATACAGTATATATGATGGGAACAGTTTTGGTATTTACGCTCAAGTAACTGCAACCTACTGTAGAACTTACGAAATAAAATTTGTCCTGATAACTTGCCGTTCATTTTTTCATCAGTTGTATATAGATTCTTTAATGTTCGTGTATATATATATATAATTTTGTGTGCGTATCATGTATACATGTTAAAATATTTTTACTTTGATATAAATGTTAATTGAATATGTTAAAATATTCTTACTTTGACTGATATAAATTCTAACTGTATTCATATATGTTAGAATATGTTCAGACAGTGTTTGTTTATTTTGAATTCCGCGCAAAGCTATACGAGGGCTATCTGCGCTAGCCGTCCCTAATTTAGCAGTGTAAGACTAGAGGGAAGGCAGCTAGTCATCACCACCCACCGCCAACTCTTGGGCTACTCTTTTACCAACGAATAGTGGGATTGACCGTCACGTTATAACGCCCCCACGACTGAAAGGGCGAGCATGTTTGGTGTGACGGGGATTCGAACCCGCGACTCTCAGATTGCGAGTCGAGTGCCTTAACCACCTGGCCATGCCGGGGCCCTAACCACCTGGCCATGGTTCAGACAGTATATTAAAATCTGTTGTTACATAATTAAATTTGTGCTTATATATTAATAACAAAATATAAAACAAACTCAAGACGTTTAAATATATCTAACCAAGGGCTGAATTTCTCAAGTACTTCGATTATTTTCGCCATCAGAAATGTGGAAAATAAAATAGTGACCAGGAATGAATATTCATAAAGACGCGTATAATGAGGTTCGTCTAGGAGTAGGTTCCTGGGTTATTGAACCTGAATACAACGTTTCGTGTTCCTTGGCCAGCATGTCCAGGTGGTTAGGGCGCTTGACTCGCACTCTGAGTGTCGTGGGTTCGAACCCCCGTCCAACCAAACATGCTCGCCCTTTCAGTCGTAGGGGCGTTATAATGTGACGGTCAATCCTACTATTAGTTGTTAAAAGAGTAGCCCAAGAGTTGGCGGTCGGTGGTGACGATTAGCTGCCTTCCCTCTAGTCTTTCGCTGCTAAATTAGGGACGGCTAGCACAGATAGCCCTCGTGTAGCTTTTCGCGAAATTCAAAACAAACAAACCAATCCTTGACCCTCTTGGGTTAATAGAGGAACTTCATCAGTACATTGGGACCTCTATGAATCATGTGGTGGCTATTAGAATCCCGCAGCAGAGAGCCTTTGAGTAATAATGTGTCAAATCAATATATTGAAAGTTGTTGAGTAATATATTAAGGATCCCGAGAAAAGAAAGGTGTTACTCATATGTAGGGAAAAACAAGAAGGATTTGGTCGTATTTTTCTTAGATTAGTGCGCAACATTACTGTACCAATGGCCAAAACCAAAATAACTGTAGGAATACTGCCATAGTGACAGAAACCAACGTGGCTCTTATAGTTCCATGCGTTTAATAACAACGCTCGGGTGGTCAACATGGTTAATATTAGACAAACCATCACAACTTGAAGGAATTAATAAGAATAAGTGATCAACTTTTGTCATTGAACATTAAAATGTAGACGCAATGTTATGTTGCAGGTCGGTGACACTTCAAACGTCGTTCTTTTAGTTTTTAAAGTTAATCTTGAAATTCGTTAAGTGTTCTATACATTAGGTCGTCAAGAAACTAATGTCGCTTGTTTTTTAGATGAAAAACCCGAACA